GAACCTGGGAGCAGGAACTGAAGCGGAGACCATGCAAGAAGCTGCTTGCTGGCTTCCTCCTCATGCTGCTTTCTTAAACAATTCATGAACTGCCCAGAGATGGTACAGCTTCCTGTGTCAGCTCCCTGTCCCTTTGTTTTTTGTCAACCTGACACGAAAACACGTCACCATTAAGCCATAACCTTTCCTCTCTTGCCAACCACAAAAAAAAAAAAAAAAAAAAAAAAAAAAAAGCCCTACAGACTTGCCTACAGGCAGTCTGGATGGAGATGTGTTTCTCAGCTGAAGTTCCTCTTTGTAGGTAACTAGCTTGTGTCAACTTGACAAAACCCAAAAGCTGAAACTAGCCAAAACAATTGATGCCTTGTCAATTTGACACAAAACATATCACTATTAAACCATAACCTTTTCTCTCCTTTTGTCCCAAGATGTCATGTTAATATTAAAATGACAATAAAAAACATTCCAACTTTTGAAAGTCCCATAGTCTTTTTTTTTTAATTAACACTTAAAATTCCAAAGTCACTTTAAAATAGTTGAAGTCTCTCTCAAAAAAAAATTTTTTTTTCAAAGTTTTTTAAGTGTGGGTACTTGTAAAATAAAATTTAAAAAAAAACCATGTTATGTACTTTCTTAGTCTAAGACAGAAGAACTAGAGCACAGTCACATTCAATTCACACAGAATAGAGTCAGAGTCGGGGGTGTGGCACTCACTACAGGACTTCAGGAGCGCTGTGCCTCTGCTAGTCACAGCACACCGAGCATCAGCACACACAACAGTCTCTCGGGTGGAGGCCACTTCCACTCCATAGATGCTGCTGTTCCCAGGTGGCTGCCTCTTAGTACTGGCATCATCAATATTCTGACGCAGCTGGACTGCGACTTCACCAACAGCCTGGGCTCTGCAGGGACTTCGACCCTGCCATGTGGTGCCCAGCCTCGACTTGTCTCTGTGAACACTTCCATCTCGGGGCGGGGCTTCTACTGCAACTGAGCCTGCACCTTCAGCAGTGCCAGGGCTCAGCTGCTCTCCATGACCCCTTCAATGCCTTCAAAACCAGTACCATGTGGGTGACTCTATGTGTTACCAAGTTTGTCTGCCAGCATGAGATGCAGCCTTGGCCTTCTCTGGATCACAGCTTCTGTGTGCTCACCCTGAGGAAATAGTCCCAGAAATTTTTACCTCAGTGATGCTGGTCTCTTAATCACTGGTAATTTTTCAGTTCCAGTTAACCAGCATTGATTGTCCAAGTAAAGCAAAGGTTGTTCACTTCGATGGTTCTGGTCTCTTATCACAGCTGATTCTTCAGCTCCAGCTGTCCAGATTCTTAATCCAAAGTATTAAAGGACCCCAATAAAGTTGTTAAGGTACTCTCAAGCTTCCTTCTGGAACTTACGAGCCAGGCCTTTATTGTCTTTACCACTTTTAACATTCTTATCTTCCATGCTCCCAGGAACAGCTCACTGAGCTCTGAGCACTCAGTGGCTTTTCCAGCCCAAAGTTCCAAACTCCTTGCACAGTCCTCCTTAAAAAACAACATAGCCTGGGAGCAGATGCAGAGACCCACAGCCAAACATTAGGCCACAGTCCGGGAGCCCCACAGAAGAGGGGTCAGGAGGTTTGTAGGAGCCAGAGAGGTCAAGAACACCACGAGAACACAGCCCACAGAATCAACTAAGCACGTTTCATAGGGGCTCACAGAGACTGAAGCGACAATCAGGGAGACAATCAGGGTCTGTGCTAGGTCCTTTGCATATACATTATGTAGCGTGGTGTTCTTGTGGGACTCATAACAGTGGGAATGTGTGTGATAGGTCTGTTACTCTTTTGGCTTCTTTTGGGACCTTTTTCCTCCTACTGGGTCGCCTTGTACAGCCTTGATATGACACTATTTGTCTAGTCTTACTGTAAATTGTTATGCCATGTTT